GAGCCTGTGTGAGGGGGGAGCGCTTCCCGCCTCACCCCTTGCCGGGGCCGGCCGCTTCCCGGCCGAGCGCGGAGCCGCCGGGTTTGTGAAGCAGGAAACGCCGGGGGGCGTAGCGGGGCCCCTCAGCTTGCGGTGCCTTCCTGCGCCTGGTTCCCGGCCGGGTGCTGTGGAGAGGCCCCCGCGTCGCGATCCCGCGGGTTTGCACTGTTTGTGCAGGCGGAATTGCTCTTCTTTTGGTGGCGCGGTCTCGCTGATGGCTTGTGGGTTGGATTTGTTGCGCTGGCAGACGTTTTTTTGGGGGCAGATTCAACGTGCCTGCACTTTTGGCCTAGGGTAAAGGTTGAAGCAGATGACTAATTGTGGGTATTTTCCTTTCGCTTATTGTGTTTGTGAGGTTTCAGCTTAAGTAGGTGCATCATCTCCCTGAGGATCTGGTAAATTGCAGTGCAGGGAGAAGAACAGCACCTGAGACAGGTTGAGAGTGGATGCTCTTAAGGCAACTTTGCCATCAGAGGCACTATGCAGTGACGCTGCAGCCGTGGCTCATTAAAATATCACACATGCGTGTGCACACAGATCACAGGAACAGCTCTTAACAGGTGTATTTTCATTTAGAAATAGCGTTGGATTTTCTTCCTATAAAAATAAGTAAAAGTCAAAAGACGTGGGCTGTGTCACGCTTGCATTTTCAGAAATGTAGTTTTGCAGTCAAAATTCAGGAAGGTTTTTCATGATTCTTGTATTCAACTTTCACAAGGCATTTGCAAGCGTGTGTTTATATTTGCATTACTCTAACAGCTGCAACTTTTGAAATGCTCTGTGTGTTAGAATGTATCTTGGAGTTAAAGGGAAGGTTAAGACGTGAGTGTGAGCATCTGTTCTCAGATGTGATTTTTTGATTAGGGCTAAGACCATAATGTAGCAAAGTCTGAGGTTATGTGCTTAATTTAAGTGTACAGTAAACAGCGGCTTTGGAGGAGTTTGGAAGCAACTGATGTGTCAATGGGTTATATTCAGCTCTGAAACAGGTATCTTGTTTTGGCTTGTGAGCATCACAGAAACACTGAGGTTGAAAGGAACCTCTGGAGGTCCTCTAGCAGAGTCAGCTGGAGCAGGTTGCTCAAGACCATGTCCAGTCGGGTTTTGAATATCTCCAAGCATGGAGACTGCACAGCCTCTCAGGCAGCCTGTTCCAGTGTTCGACCACCCTCATTGTTACTGAGTCTTTTTCATTGCATTTAGGTGAAATTTCCTGTATTTCAACTTGTACCCATTGCCTCTCATCCTGTCAGTGTGTGTCACTCAGAGTTGGGCTACATCTTCTTTAGTCCTCCTCTATCAGGTATTTGTACACACTGGCAAGACCCCCCCGAGTCGTCTTTTCTCCAGGCTAACCAGTCCCAGCTCCCTCAGTCTCTCCTTGTATGAGAGATGCTTGAAGCTCTTAATCACCTTCATAGGTCTTCACTGGACTAACTCCAGTATGTCCACGCCTTTCTTGTACTGGGGAGCCAGCACTCCAGGTGTGCCTCACCGGTGCTGACCAGAGGCGAAGTATCACCCCCCTCGCCCTGTTGGAAATGCTCTGCCTAATCCAGCACACAAGGCTGTTGGCCTTCTTTGCTGCAAGGGTGCATTGCTGGCTCACGGACAACTTCATGTCCACGAGGACCGCCAGGTCCCTTTCTGCAGAGTTGCTCTCTAGCTGGTCAGCCACCAGCATGTGCTGGTGCGTGGGGTGAATCCTCTCCCGGTGCAAGACTTTGCACTTTCTTAAGTTCATGAGGTTCCTGTCAGCCCATTTCCTCAGCCCGTTGAGGTCTCTCTGAATGGTAGCACAATCACAGAGTCTATCAACCACTCCTCCTAGTTTTGTGTCCTCTGCTAACTTGCTGAGGGAGGCGGGTGCAACCTGTCCCATCATCCAGGTCACTAATGAAGGTCAAATAGCGCTGGCCCCAGGACTGACCCCTGCTGTGCACCGTTAGTCAGGGGCCTCCAGCTGGACTTCATCCTGCTGATCACAACCCTTTGAGCCCAGCAGTTCTGCAAGTTTTCAGTCCACCTCACTGTCAGCTTATCTAGTTCATCCTTCTTCAGTTTGTCTGTGAGGATGTTATGGGAAACAGTATTAAAAGCCTTTCTGAAATTGAGATAAAGCATCCACTATATTGGTCATCTAATCACAGGAGAAAATC